TGATTCACCGTGGCGTTCACCCCGAGGTACTCGTCCCTCCATGTGTTCCCAGAGAAATTGTCGGACAAAAAGCCAACCAGCCCAGCCGTGATCTCCCCGGCGCTGCAGTCATTGTCAGTCAAGGCACTCTTCGCAGCACTCGCAGTGGGGCACAGCTTGGAGACAGCTTCGTCCACTTTCTTCCACGTCGCCAGCACCTCCTTCACCCGCTTCAGCTGCTCAGTCAGACGCACAGACCAAAGACTGTGTGATGGCTTCTCACCGCCCTTCTTCTTCTTCTCGTACAGTGCAATCAACTTATCCTCCTCCTTATTATTATCTTCACCTTCAGCACTTTCGTACAGCAGGGAGCTGGCGGCAACTTCGTCTTCGTCCTTCTCGGACACCGGCCCAATATCAGCAATGCGCGTATTGTCCGTCAGCCAAAGATGGAGTTCACTCTTTTCCCTTGTTTTCGCTGCCCTTCTCCTTAGAATACACCGGCAGAGTAACGAGCATCACTTTTTTGTTGTCATCTCCAAGAGTCGCTGTGGTGAACCCGCTCGCAACACGTTTCGTCTGTTCCTCGTGTTTGTTGCCCCACACGCGCGAGAGTGTCCCGAGTGCCTCCGTCCACGACTCCCCCTTGTCACCGGACTCGTACACCCTGCGGCGGCCGCCATCGCACGCAGTCATCATCATGAGTTTCTCCTTCTCCCACTCCACGACGGAGGGAACACCGCAGCCACCGTCAGACATTCCCTTCGACAGCTTCCAACTCGAATCATCCGAAGTATCCGAAGTATATACGAGCAGTGAGACACTCTTTCCTTCCTCTCCGTCGTTTTCTGATTCACCCTTCTTCGTTACTTCCACGGGAAACACAAGCGTACCGTCCTCCATCTTAACACCCGATCCACCGCCTGCAACCAGCTGCATCAAGGAATCCTGTTCGCGCTTAAAGAGAGTGTCGACCAGTCGCTGGTTCACATTCCATTGGACTTTTTTGTTACTGCCACTGTCCCCATCACTGAGTTCCCCTTTCGCCAGCAAAAGTCCCCACTCACCTGCGCCCCTCTCCTGAGCGTCTTTAGCAGCTGCTGTCCGGCTGTATTTTCCAGCAAGCATGTAAATATCAGTTCCATTCACAAACGTTGTTGGTCGGCTCACATCTACTTTCTTTTTCTTTGCGGGAGCGCCCTCCTCCAGGACTTGTGTATCCTTTTTGGAATCACTCAGTACTTCCACCGGTTTTTATCCGTTGGATCCGTGAGAAGTTCGGATGCAATGCCTGTAAAGCTGCCTTCACCTCCTTTATTGCACTGCGCCTCGGCGACGGCAAATACGACAGTCCCCACTTTTAGAAGGCCGGGAACACGAAGCGAGTCCACAGTTACACCCTCATCACCAATGGTACTCCTCCATTCAAACGTTGGATCAGCCACTGAATCGCTGTTCTCCACAGCGGCTGCACCTCCACTGCCACAGCAAATCATTACAACAAGAAGGAGCAGCACGCCGGAATTAAACACACGCCGGGACATGTTGGGCCTCCGCGGCTCACTCTCTCTTCCTCCCCTCCTCCTTCCGCTGGATCCGGTCACGCGGCAACGGTTGTGTGTGCGGGGTGCCTTCACTGCAGAAACACGTGGGAGCATATAAATATGTGCGTGGGCGGTGTGTGAGCGTGTTGTTGGTCCTTTCAGAGCCTTCCAACTTCACAGTAGCGTTTAGCGCTTTTGTTTTCTTCTTCGTGAGATAGTGAGCGGGAAATAAAAAGAGGAAAAAAGCCACCAAAAGAAGTAAAGGAATAAGCACCGCCAGCATCCACAGTGAGTGGCACCATCATCCGCGCCGCAGTCAATCCCCACAACAGCAACTCACGCGCACAGACACACGGCACAGGAGAAGAAAGAACAGTGCACCGGGAAAACAGAGCGACTGTCACCACCAGCAGCAGAAGACACGGCGTGTGTCGTCCGTCACACGTCCGTACACACCAAGCAATGCCCACACACAAAAAGCGGAATGCCAAATGGCGCAGCCGCCCTTCGCAGCACACACGCGCTGCCGCCAGTCGTTTCACTGTTGTCTCTCCCCGCACAGCCGGAGAGTCCCTGGCCGACGTATCCACAGCGGGAGAGACACGTCGGCACGTGCAGCTGCACGGCAGGAAACAGTCCGCACTTGTCCCAGGCACTCTCCATGCCACACCACTCACCGGCCGCACGCCGCAAACACAACAACTGCGTCAAAAAGGCAAATCGCGGTCTCCCGTCCTCCCCAATCGTGAGGGCCGCCGCAGCCAGGATCATTTGCGTTCTCAGCGTTCACGATACGAAAGGGCGTTCGTGTGTGTGCATATAATTGTCGGCCTTTATAATTGCAGAGCAGCTGTGCGGCACAACAGAGCCAAAAGAAAGCAATGGCAGAGAGAGGCAGATAGCACACACACAAATTACTTATATCATCACACACACAGACACACGCAGCCGCGGAATGGGTGCACTCAACCACAACACAAGCAGAGGATAAAAAATACCAACAACAAAAGCCGAAGCGTGGGGGCGTCCACCCAGCAGTGGGGACGCGCAGCAACAGGTGGGACGACCAGCGCACACACTCCCATTGCTCCCGTAAAGCAAAACACACACACAGAGGGAGAGAGAGAGAGGTCGCCCACTCAATGCAATAAAAACAAAACAGAAACAGTTACGGCGCTCCGTCCATGCAGCCAGGCAGGACGGCAGCGGTGCGTGTCGTGCAAAAGAGAGCACCAACGGGCCTGCATGGGTGTGCATGCATATATACAATGGGCACATTATTGTGTGTGCTTCGTGGGGTGAGGTGAGGGCGAGAGTCCATGCAAGGGGACACACACAGAGAGAGAAGGACGAGTGTGTGTGCGGGCGGTGCACGGCTCTCTCTCCCTCACTCTCACGCGGCCACCACCGCAGCCGCAGCCGCACACGCAACAACAAGAAGAAGCAAAGGAGGGGAGGTGGTGTGGGAGACCGCGGTGCTGCCGTCACTGCTGCCAGGCGTTGCCGTACCATCTGTTCTGGCGGTAGCTGCTGCTTTCGCCGTACGTGGTTTTGTCTCACTGGCTGTGGGCGCAACGTTGGTATGGCTGGCTTCGGGGTCGTTGTGTGGCCCTCTGGGGTTGGGCCCTTTGCTGTTGCCGTCATTCTCATCCGCCCTACTCCGGCCATCACCACTGCCACTTGTAGAGATGGATGATGCCGTTACTTCCGCCGGGCTGCCGGTAGGTCCACCCCTCAGATCCGGTAAAACTGTGCCTTGACCCTGTTGCTCTGCCACACCATCCCCAGAAGTAGGTTCCGTCTCTTCAGGCTCCTTTTTGTTTGATGACGGTGGCGTTTTTGTCCTTTCTTCTGTCAAAGTTTGCGAGTCTGTTTGTGCCGTTGGGCTTCCTCCTGCCGGAACTGCCACCGCTGTTGGTCGTTCTTCTCCTACCGTTGCTGGCGCTGGCGGTGGACATCACGGTGGAAGGACCTTGTGCCTCCGCGTCACTCCGCCGTTTCTCGTCTCCAGTTGCCGCCCTACCAGCAGCTTCACTTTCTGGTTTTTCTTGTTTACTGGGAGAGTCTTCTTGTGCTTCGGGTGTTGACTCCGCTGGTGACGACAATTCGGGCAATTCGTTCCGTGCACGATTTGCTTCTGACTGCTCACCTGCTTCTTGAGGTTCCCCTCCCTTTGTGGATGCCGCAGCGCCGGTCTTCTCCAACGCATCACTCTCGTCGGTGATGGAGGGTGGGGAATTACCACCAGCAACAGGAGCGCTCAAAGATGCATCACCACCTGGACTGCCAACATCAGGTTGACTGCGACCACCAGAAGAGAAGGAGCCCAAAATGAAGCCTTTGCTTCCGTCAGAACCTACACTTCCTGCAGGAGCCCCAGGAGAACTGCCACCATCGCCGAGAACAGGAGATGGGGACTTGACATCCGAAGCAGGGGACTTCAAAGAGCCACCAACACGTGCTTTAGAACCTCCATTTGAACCACCACCACCGCCAACAGAAGCTTTGCTGCCACGAGCTTGACTGCCACTGGCACCTCCAACGCCACCAGGACCGCCAGCACCGTCGTCTCTACCGCCTCCACCTTCACCTCCGCGACCAGGAGGAGAACCGGCACCACCGAAATCAGCACCTGAACTCGGAGCTAAATCCGATTTATTTTCGGCTGCACCAGTCACCAATGGGTCAGTCGAAGCTGCAACGGCAGTGATGGACAAGACAGATCGTAAAGGCAGCGTCAGCGCCGTTTTGTCACATCCGCTCGGCGTATACGATTTATTCGCATTCAACACCCACGACGCCATGCAGCCACCAACTGCGTTGTTCTCGAGATTACTCGCATCAGCCCCGCCGGCACCGCACCACAGCACGCAGAGGGCACACACCAGCAGCACACGGCCAGTCATCATCATCGCCATCACTCCTGTCACTTGCCTGCAGCCTTCAGCACAAACTAACTCCCCGTCAACGCAGAGAAAACAAAAGGAGAGACACGGCCGCTACACCACGCACAGCCACCGCACAGTCACAAATGGCAGCAGCCCAGCAGCGGCAGCGCACACACACCATGAGGCAGTTGAAAGCAGTGAAAGGGCAAAAACACACAACGCCCCGCAGCAAGCAAACAGAAAAACACACAAAACAATTAGAAACAAAACACAGGTAAACGAACAGCAATGAAGTAAAAATGTAAAAACAAAAAAACAAAGGGCTGCACAATATGGCTCCAGCGCGCACGCACCCATCCTCAAATGCGACCCCACGCAATCAGTTGTGTGCGTGCCATGCACATGAGTGTGTCTGGGGTGCGTTCAACGTGACGGATGCGGGGAGCGGCAAGGAGCACACAGCAGGGCAGCGGAAGCAAGTGAAACAAAACACAATCATTATTTTATCCTGTTTAGCAAATCGGACCACAGTGGACGCACACAAGTCCCCGCGGTTGAGTGATGGCACGCACAGCCCGCACACAATTCTTCAGCCCAGAGTGGTGTACGCCAGCGCAGCCAGAAAGAGCAGCAGCGGGGCATGCAGACGGATGTCATGGAGGCAGGCGTCACTTCCCACACTGCTCTCCAGAGCTTTTGTTGGGGGCGCGGAGGAAAGAGGAGCTGGCATGCCTGCCGCCCTAGAATTTCCCTCGCTGGTGGCCGTGTCGGTGGTGTTGGTATTGTCCTCGTGCGTCACCGCGGCAGCAGGCGGCGGGGTGCCGTTGGGAGTCCCCTCCGCTGCGGAGTTTTCACCCGGACCACTGGCAGCAGCCTGGCCGCCTGGGGATGGGGATGTTGGCTCAGCGTCACCCCCTGCTGGTGTGCTCCGCGTGGCATCTGATGCGGCTGCCGTTTGTGGCCCTGGCGAACTGTCGCCTGTCGCTGTTGGTTCTTCACCCGCCGGCGATTGTGACTGCTGCGCTGATTCTAGTCCTGTCGTCGTACCGAGGGTTGCTGATACATCGGGATTCGTTGACTTCGTCAAATTATTCGTTTCTTCTGGTGGAGTTGCTGGTCCTTGTCCTACTGGAGGAGGAGGAGTTGCTGTTGCTCCTGTTCCTTTCTCTGCCGGCGAATTTACATTGTTTGTATTTTCGACTCCTCCCGGTTCACCCGGAACATTTTCCTGCGGCTGTTGGCCCTCACTTCCAGGAGTATGAACGACACTCGTTTGAACATCCCCCTCTCTCACAACAGTTTCTTCTGCGACAGAATTGCCAGCCTCACCACTTTGGCCAGCATCAGTACCAACAACCGTGCCGTCACCAGAGCCAGAAGACGAAGCCTGCGGTGTCTCATCACAGCCACCGCCGCCGGCACCGCACCACAGCACGCAGAGGGCACACACCAGCAGCACACGGCCAGTCATCATCATCGCCATCACTCCTGTCACTTGCCTGCAGCCTTCAGCACAAACTAACTCCCCGTCAACGCAGAGCGGAAGCAAAAGGAGAGACACGGCCGCTACACCACGCACAGCCACCGCACAGTCACAAATGGCAGCAGCCCAGCAGCGGCAGCGCACACACACCATGAGGCAGTTGAAAGCAGTGAAAGGGCAAAAACACACAACGCCCCGCAGCAAGCAAACAGAAAAACACACAAAACAATTAGAAACAAAACACAGGTAAACGAACAGCAATGAAGTTAAAATGTAAACACACAAAACAAAGGGCTGCACAGCATGGCTCCAGCGCGCACGCACCCATCCTCAAATGCGACTCCACGCAATCAGTTGTGTGCGTGCCATGCACATGAGTGTGTCTGGGGTGCGTTCAACGTGACGGATGCGGGGAGCGGCAAGGAGCACACAGCAGGGCAGCGGAAGCAAGTGAAGCAAAACACAATCATTATTTTATCCTGTTTAGCACATCGGACCACAGTGGACGCACACAAGTCCCCACGGTTGGGTGCTGGCACGCACAGCCCGCACACAATTCTTCAGCCCAGAGTGGTGTACGCCAGCGCGGATACGGCGAGCAGCAGCGGGGCACACACCCACGCAGAGCTGCTGGGGCTGCCGTCGCTTTCGCGAAGAAGTGACGGTGCGCGAGTGGTGGTCGTTGTAGTTGGCGCCTCCGTAGTCGTGGTACTTGGTGCCTGTGTTGTAGTTGTCGTCGTGCTTGTCGTAGTAGTGGTAGTGGTCGCCGTGGTCTTCTCGGCCGGATCGTCGGCATTCGTATTTGTTTGGTCTGTGGATGAATTATTGCCACGTGTTGAGTCTGTCGTATCGTCGTCACCATTTTTCTGTACCGTATCGGCCGCCGTACCTGAACTCCCTGACCTACCGGATCCACCCTGTCCCTGTTCTGTATCAGACGCCGGACCTGCTGGATCTGAGTTCCCTGCCGGAGCGGGCACTCCACCTGATGCCTTTCCTTTACTGTCCTGACTTTGGGGTCCCGATAACGTAACTTCCGTACCAGTTGAACTTGGCTCCGTGGAATTATTTGCTTGCCCTGCACCACTTGTTCCCTGTGACTGAGCAGTCGTTGAACTATCGGCTTCTTTTTGTTCTCCACCAGTCGCTGTCACGCACACGGACGGGCAGCAGCACGCGGCAAGCACCAACAGGGCGCACAGCAGACGGCACGTCATCATCTTGGGTGTGGTCGTTCGGTGGTGTGGAGCTGATCTGCACAGTGAGGGACATGGAGAGCAACAGGGGAGACGAGAGGTGCGGCAGACACAAACAGAGGGCACACACACACATGAGGAGAGGGCAGCAGCCAGGCATGCACCGTACGCCGCACACCACGCACAGCACACACTCCAATCCACGGCAACAGGCACACACACACACAGCCCTGCCACAACACCAACACACAGATGGAGGAGGGAGAAGCAAACAGGAGCGGCACACAAGGCTCCACCGCATGCACATACGGCGAGAGCGGTCCGTCGTGTCGGCACCCCTCACGGAGGGCACGCACACACGAGAATAGGTGCAGCGCACACAGCAACACAACAGCAAAGTAGCCATGAAAAAGAATAGATCCCCGCACACCACGTGGATTGTTGGTCCACGGGAAGCGCAGCCACCACCGCAGCAGCAGCAGCAGCACACGCAAAGTCAAGCGCAAGGAATGGAAAAAAGCAGCCATTTATTTGTGTTTCTTTTTGGAGGGTGGAAGATGTCTGCATATGTTGTTATTGTTTTTGCGGAGGGCAAACCCTCATGCCTGCATCGTGTGTTGGGGTTCCTGCAGTGTGCACAACTGTTTCCTTCTCTTGTGAATTTTTATTGTGTTGGTGCAGCCAATAATTCAATTTGTGCTGTTCCTGCTTTTCGCTGGTAAAGTGCTGCAATAGATGCTTTTATTTCCTCCTTCGTTGCTGTGGCACCTGATTCCTCACCGTTTATTGCGGTGGAAATGGGAATATGTGAGTGGACTCCCACGCACCAGAACGCACCTTCGCTCCTATTTATTGCTGCACAGAAGGGCATGCGTGTTTGGTGGTGCCTCGACCATATATTTTGTGGGCGTACATTCCCCTGCAGGCTGAGGGCGGGGCGACGCTCCGTCGCGGTGCACTTCCCTCGCATGCCGCCCACTCTGATTCATCATGCATCACCCCTCACATACTCCGTGGTGCCACACCGTCGATATTACTGCAGCCGCTGTGATTCCGCGTATTTCACGCATTTGATTGTGCCACAATACATCCGCTCGTGTGGCCGCCGCATCCAAACAGCGGTGCCCAACACCGTGAGCGGCAGTCCACATCCCTGCATGTCCCAGCGCAGTGGTGCTTGACTTTCAGCCAGGCGCCAGACAACACGAGAGTATTGTGCCGGCAGTACAACACGCGAAGCTGCAGCGAATGACTCGGGCGGCGACGCATCTATTTGTCGCAAGGCAGTGAAAAGGGGTCGGGCAAAATAATGCCGGCTGCATTCACGACACCACATCCACAGCCAAAGCATGCGACATGATGTGTGCTTCGCTGGTGCTGTGGAATGCCTGCAGACGACGTCACTAGTGGGGGCACACCACCCATGATCAGCGGACAGACAATAATCGGCATGGGAGGCCACGAAAGGCAGCAACGACGCCAGCAGGAGCAGCTCTCTCTCTGTTGCCTCCGAGAAGTAAATATTCCACCAGCCACAGCCGGCCGTGCCATCGTGACGCTCCATGCACGTCGTGGCTGCGTCAACACATCCTGCTCCCTGCTGCGCCTCAAAAGATGCCTCACTCCGTCCACTAAGTGCATCGATGCGGGCCGTGCCTGGCTGTTCGTCAGGACCACAACGATGTGAGGGTCACCGAGTCGCAGCATGTTTGTTGTGGCGTTGTTGCATGGCACCTGCACACACACACGCAGCGCCTGCATCCCTCCCTTTTGTGTTCGCCCTCCGCCGGAGTGGCCACACACACGGGCAGCAGCAAATTCATTTCACCCTCGACAATCCAAAATCAACACCGACAGCCCTCGCGACGCAAACATCTCAGTTGCCAGCACGGGCCTCCTGCCGCTCCGCCATCGACGCCGAAACACGGCACAGTGCACGCACTTATTCTCCTCGTGTTCCGTCAGCCGTTTGCTTCACACATTCTCCGACGGGCTGACGCCCACAAAAGCACGCCACAAAAGCCACTGTGACCACACAAGCTCTTGCGATGAGCGTCTGCGTGTGCATGGATCCGCTGCGCACACGTGCTGGCAGGCAGCCTGCAGCCGGTGCCCTCGTGCCAGTTCATCGGCTCCAGCATGGGAAAGAGAAAACGGCCAATTCCTCGTGCACTTATTCCCACCAGCAGCACCAACACGCTGGTCGCCAGCCGTCATTCCTCAGCACATCCAGGAATGCTGAAGAGTGACGTGGAACTGTCAGCCAGCAATGCCACAATCCCCGCACACATGTCGGCTCCACCAGAGAAGACACACAAACTACACACAACACCCCTCACATGTTTTCCGAACATCATTCCAACACACCGCGACACGCCAAACAGAAGTATTCGTCACTCCACGCACCTCCCCACACAATCAAATAGTCCATGCACCACGCACGGCAGCAGCTCACACCCGTCTAAACAAGTGTTCCTCGGACTAGTGTTATCCACGTGCTGCAGTGGGCTGCCCCGGCTGAGGCGAGCTACTGTCGGAAATATTGTTCGCGATCACTCACCCCAACGCGGCCGCCTCCCAGGTGGCTGCGCAACCAGTGTTGGGCTCGACAGCACAGGCGCGGGAGGTCGCCGAGTTCGGCCAGCACTCGCCCAGCGTCAACGGTGTCGAACGCAGTCGAGATGCCGGTCGGGACTGCGAGAGAGCGGCGACGGCGACGGTGCAGCGCGGGACGCCGTCCCTGCAACGCCCACACTCCACGGCGATGCGCTCGCTCGGCCCTCGTGCCGTTTCGTCACGGAAAGGCATCACCACGTCGGAGACCGTGCGTCGTGGCGTTAATCGAGGCTGACGTCGGTGTCGTGCCAGCAGCGCTGACAGGCGGCGGTGGACCAGTCCTCCGCTCACCCCTAGCAGGACAGAGAGCAGCGGGAGGGTTCGACAACTCTCCGTGCGGCATGCGTTCTTCCCGTGTCTGCGGATGCGAGTAGTGTCCCCCGTTTCCCAGGAACTTCGCAGGCTGCCGTCAGCAAGGGAGGTGCTACTCATCGTTCTGAGCGAGCAGCGGGCTGCGGGTACAAGATGGCGCAGCAACGCATTCAATACACCGCCGGGGCCAGGGACCAAGACAAGCGAAGAGTCGCGAAAGGACAATTCAAGCGCACACAGCGCGAAGGGCCAAACCACATCCCGGCCACCAGGGGGCACGCAAGCACGAAGTGTGCAGACAGCAGTGAGGATCGCAGCAAGTGGGATTCAGACGATGCGACGGACGAGCGGGTTTCACTGCTGCCGGATTTCGTCGGCGCTTACCAGCGCTACACGTGTCGTCTGCGTGCCGTATGTGACGCACAGAGGCAAAAGCTACTGCGAGGCGAAGACGTTGAGCGGAGCCCGAGCCCCATGGCAGCACTCCAGATGACCGTTCCCTCACCGAAGCCGGCCAAACTCGCAACATTAATGGCGCAGGGAGCAGACATGATAGCCATCCAGGAGACCTGGAAGTCGGCGGAGCAGATCGCCAGCATGCATACTGGAGAGTGTGTGCTCCACGCACAATCACGTATCCGCAAGGAATGTGTTGCAGCGGTGCCGGTGCGGAAAAACCTCCGCTCCAAGCGTATGCCCCTCATCACTCCTCAACGTGATTCCAGTCTCGAAGTGGTGGTCCAATTCGCGCTGGGCCAGAACCGTGATCTTATTGTGGCGAGCACCTATATGAGGCCACCGCCGCAACCGACACAACCCCTAGGCGGTTGCTGAGCTGCCTCTCGGTCTCGTCGCCGCTCATTCCGTGTGGAGCTTCCAGCGTGCGTCGCCCACGGTGGGAGCCCTTCCTGGAGACCCCTCCGAGCAACTCCGCTGTAGAATTTTATACAACCGCGCACGGATGCAGGACGCACCTTGGTTAACACCCCTGGTGAAACAAAGTGTGCTCGTGGTGCAAGAGAGAGATCCTGTATCGACCGGACATGGTCAAGGCATCTTACCGTGTCCGACTGGACAGCCAACGTGCCGCCGCTCAGTGACCACTATGTGTTGACATTCACGCTGCATCAGGCATTTAAGGATACCATGCCCTCGGCACCCACTTCGGTACGTCGAGTTTTCTACAGCTGGTGGAAGTCCAAGTGGGAGTCCTTCGCCAACGACCTCGACGCACAACTTCCAGCATGCGACCATAAAAAGCAATCAACCGGCATTAAAGCTTTTACGAGAGCACTTGCAGTTTCACTTCGACGGCATTGACCCCGCGGCATGCACAAGGATGATCCCAAGCTCCGGGGCGACACCCTTGCGAAGGCAGAGCGGATTGCTACCGACAGCAAGGCCCGCTGTCTGCAGTTACCGACGCCCGACCGTGAAGCAGAGACGCAACGGGCAAGGAGCCAATTCCTCCTCCTACTCCGTGAGCGTCCGCGCAGCAAATATCGG